ATGCAGCATATTTAAAATAGAATTTTATGTTAACTATTAAGAATCTGTCTATATCTCCAATATTTAAAGCATATATTTTTGGTTGATTTTGTTGATATATTATTTAAGATGTCTGCCATAATGCATAGCCTAAAAATAAAAGCTTAAAGAAGCAAAGAAAGCAAGATTAAAACAAAGGGTCTATAATTTAAATTGTAATTATTCAACAAAAAAAGTTCAGTGTCTAATATTGGTTAAAATTTACGCATAAGATGCTTTTCATTGAATTCTTTTTGACTTGAAAGATTTAATATTTTTCTTGAAAACTTAAAATTTTTGGCTCAATAAAAGAATAGCTAAGCATATGCACAAAAAATGATATTTAAAACCAAATAGTTTTTTAATTGGCGTTTCCTCATCTTTAACTTTTGTTAGACATACTTTTTTTAAATATTTATCTCTTGAGCAAAAAACATCACATTAGAGAACATCTAAACAAATAATAAATGAAAATAAATAAACAAAAAAATATTTATATACATAATAAAAATGTCATAAATTAATTGCCACAAAATATAGAACGAGCAAAGCTTAAACCTAACATTTTTTTGAGCTGATATAAAAGTGAGTTAACCAAAAAGAGCCTTAAATTAAATAAGAATCTATATATGTGAAATATTTCGAAAAAGTAATAAATCAAGTTTTACAGAGATGGTTTGAGAGTTATCTTTCATCTCAATTTTCTCGCTACACACACACACACACACTCACACACACGACATACACTTTCAATTTTACAGCCCTATGGAACGCATAGGCCCCACAGTGTAGGGCAGCCAATCGGGCTGGCAAGTGCAGCGTTCGCCCTCAGCCTGGCCTTTGACCTCGCAACGTATGTGCTGATGAAGATTACGTCAGCTGAAAAGTTATTGTTTTGGTCCGGCATTCATTGAGGCAAGGCGATGCCTGCTAGTAGCAACTGTGGGCTTCATTTATATCCATATACTTTTGTGTCGTGTGCCGCAACAGCAGCAGAAGGAGCGCCAGCCAAATGGATGACAGCAGCAGGAAACATGCGGCAGCTGTGCGAGTTGTCTGCCGCCTGCCGCCTTTTTGCCTCTTGTTCGGTTCGCTTCGGTTCGTTCATTTTGTTTCAGCTTTGCTTCTGGTTAAGAAATAGTTTCGGCATGAAAATTGTGTCCGAATCGCATATGAAAAGTCTGTTGTTTGTCTGTTGCTGCATGTGGGCCAGCTGCCCCAGGGAGGGGCGAATCAGCAGCACTGGCCAAGCGTGAAAATGACCAGATAACATTAAAAATAAATCTAAATTGCACATTTCTGGCTTAAATATCATTTACGAACTGAACACAACACAAATTTAACTTTTAAAATCACCCAAAACAAAAGTTTGTGTATCTTTCCGACTCTTTTAAAGGACCTGACAGAGGGTATTTATATTCCTAATGAGAACAAGCTGAGTTGTTAATGTTTACCAAAACATATCTGCCAGAGTATTCGTCTGTCTGTTTCTATGAAAAACAGCTCTGCTTAAATATTAAATTTTTTAAACTTTCCGAAGGTTGCCCCATAGCTGTCGCAGTGGGATCGGATCGGCTCACTATATCATAAAGTTGTCAAAGATTTAGCTTTAATAGAACTTCTTTCATTTAATTTTTGATTTTATTAAATAAATCTTTTATTTTAATTTATAACTCATTTATTTTTTTAATCTTCTTTCATTTAATTTAATTAATTTAATTTTTTTATTCTAACTATTATTATATTTTTTTAAAGATATCTGAGGCAAAATTCATTATAAAAGCAAAATGTTATCAAAATCGAAGTTATATAATTTTTAGCTCTCATCAATTGAGTATTAGACCCTTGTATAAAACGTTTTCTCAAACAATGCAAATCAAGCCTTGTTCGTATGTTAGCAACATATGAACTAAATCTAATCAAAATCGGTGTACTATTTCACAGGGAATGGGGTGTGTCGGAGCATAGAAATAGAGCGAGCATTTCAAATATGTCTGAATGTGTATTTTATTCTGCACACATCAAACATAACTATTTCTTACATATTTTTTTACGATTTGTATGTGTCGTCAGGACATTTGCCTTTGGCCGGGCCAACGGCAGCTGCCTGCCTTCTGATGCTGCTGCTGCTGCTGCTGCCACAGTCACATATTTTTGGCAACACAAATTTTGGAATTTTTAATGAATTTCAAGTCGTTGTCATCATCATTGCAATTCCCCCGCCACCCACAACCCGCTGCCCGCTGCATGCTGCATATTTTTGTGTATTTTTGCGTGTGCCCCGAAAAGTATGCAACGTCTGCTCTGCTCTGTCCTGCTTCCTGCAGCCTGCAGCCTGCTGGCTGGCATGCCACTGTGGACTGCGGCCAAAACCAAACCCAACCACAGCACACAATGTCCATCTGTGGGCGCTGGACGGCGGCCACAATGGGCGTGGCACGCAATTAGCCAGACTGTCAAGCAAAGTGTTTTCCCCAAATGCACCGCTCCCCATCCAGCATCCCGCCCACACAGCTCGTTTTTTCTACATTAGAATTGCTAATTGCCAAAAGTTTTGTGCATTTTCTGCACTTTCTTCAATGCAAGCCAGCGACATGGAAGACATAAATTGCATTCAAGTGAGACATTTGTTTGAATATATTGTTTGAAGCGAGCAGATTGTAATTGTTGTAACGCCCACAGGGAAAATATGCCACGCCAGACCATCCTCAGGCTGCATGCCCCAAATTGTCAGATTGCTAATCAACAGTTGCAACATGGACAGACAAACGCGTCAAACGATTCAAGCATTTTGATACTGAATAAAACATTGTTATTATAGAAATACTCATGAATACGCAAAAATTGGTAGATGGCATTATATCAGAATATATTATTTAAAAAAATCAATATGTTAAATAAAAATATGCTCGGCAAATAAATGTAAATTAAGCAAAACAAATCATCTTCGTTGACCCAGCTTAAAGTTTTGTCATCTATTAATATTAATAATATGCAGAAATCGAAAATTGGAAATTTGTGCACTTTGTTTGGGTTTTTGGCTTTTAATTTGTATGCTCTGTGTCCATTGGAAATAAAAAGGGTATAATGCGCTTGTGCAAATGTATGTAACAGGCAAAAGGTAGCATCTCCAACGACATAAAGTATAAATATTCTTAATTACCATCAATAGTCGAGTCGATCGATGAACGGGTAGATCTCAGAACATATTCTTATATTCTTGCTAGAGACTGAAATATTGAACGTCAGTCCTGTTAGTGCACGCACGAGTTTGTTGCCGATAATCGATAACTCCGTTTCCAAGCAATCGATAAAAATCGATTTTTAAATACTGTTCTTTGAGCAAATCTGTTCGATTTTTAGAGCTAGAGTCACCAAATTTGGTACTTTCTAGAATAGTATAATATATAAAGATCAAATACCTTTCATTTTATAGCTATCGTACATTTGGAGCTTTTAAGGAAGGTTCAGAGTATTAACAAGTCGAGCACTCCCGACTAGAGCAGTATTTTGTGCTCTTTTCTATGTACATAATTTATTTATTTATATATTTTGTGAATGCTAGAGAGAATACATTAGCGGGTTTATTCGATAATTATAAATGTTTTACCCACGTAAGTTATTTAAATTTATATTATTCCCATATCAAAATTAATATTGTCAGATATAAGATGTGCCTTATAAGTCTCTTGAGTGCTGCCTGCTATGCGTTACGAATTCTCTGGCAATCAAAATAATATTCCAACTGAAAGACAACAGCATGAGAAATACTTTGCCATAACCATATTGGCTGGAGAAAGATACATATATATATATATATATATATATTTATATTATATATATATAACAAGCCACATGGCAAATGCATGCAAATTCGATAAATGTAAATTTACAAAAAGAAAATGCAAGAATAAGAAAAAGAATACAAATATGGTAAGTAAATTTTTGGAAATACGTCGAACACTGTGACAGATAAATTGGCAATGCGGATATAACAGCAGGTCCGGGCAGGGCAGCCCGGCCATGCCCCCCTGCCAAAAAAAAAAAAAAAGAAAATCCAAGCGCAGGGCCAATTGTAAGCCAAGAAAACTTTTCAATGGCTCAAACCCTCATATCTGGCAGTTGCCTGGCCTGCGAGGGCCTGTCAATTTGTGTGTCTGTGTGCGTTTGTCTGTGTTTGTGTGTGTTTCCAGTCAACAGTTTTGTGGTTATTCGCAACTTTATGCCGCAACTTGCAAAAAGGCGGCAGCGGGCGTGGCCAGCTGTTTGCATTCTGCAGCACTGTAGGTAATAGCAATATTTTGTGGCACAACAAGCAGACAACAGGGGCAAGTGCATGCTGGAGGGGGCAGAAGGGGGGATGATACGAATGCGGAATGGTAACGAAATGACAATGGAGCACAAAACTTGCCATTCATTACTTAAAAACTACAAAATTAGCGTGGAATTTGCCACAGCAATCGTTAAAAACTTTATGCCGAACGCAGCTGAAGCAGCACGAGGAGCAGGGCAGACGAAACCGAGGCAGGACACAGCCGAAAAAACTTTATTTTTACAACTAATTGGCAAACTTAAATGTAAGATTTAATTTTGTTGTGGGTAACACAGCAGCAGCAGCAGCAGCAGCAGGAGCAGCAATCGGCAGGACAAAGCCGTTTGAAAGCTTCATTAAAAAATTACAATGCGCTGCAGGCGGCAAACAGAGCAAGAGACAGAAAACGAATGAACGAAGGGGGGGGGGAGGTGTTGGGCAAGGGGGGGGGTTAGTGGTTGTGGCAAGTGGCATTGTCGACTGGCTGCCAATTTATTGCGCAGCCGAACAAAAATATTTGCCACATAAATAAAACTGAGACAAGTTTGAGGCAACTGCTGGTTCTGCTGCTGCGTCAGCGACACTTTGACAGCAGCTGGCCAATATACATACATGTACATGTTTGTATGCGTGTGTGTGTGTGTGTGTGTGTGCGTGTGTGCTGACTCACCTGGAAACTTGTACAGCGCCACCTCGTTACAATTAATCTCAATCAGCGTGGACGTCTCGTTGGGCAGTCCGGCGCACTGGCACATCGAGTTGAGTGGACACGCGTAGAGCACATCCTGCTGCTGGCTGCCGAGCAGCGCGGCCGATCCTCGAGCCGGCGGCGGACCGCGCGCTAAAGCGCGTGCCGTATTTCTGGCGCTGCGCTGCATCGCCCTGTGTCCCGCCCCAGCAGCACCTCCGCCATCGAACTGCCAGCAGTGGGCGGTGCACACGAGGCACGATATTAGCGCCAGATACAGGTGCATGCTGCAACAAGAAAGATGACAATGAAAACAGTTAGCAATGGGTTGAAGATTCTCTTCTTTAATCTGTGGGTCTGCCTATAAGGTGCGGCGATGCCAGATAACTTGCAGGGAGTACTTTTCTAGGAAAAACGACTCACAGTTCTGACTTCTTAGGTAGCTTATATGACCAAATATCTTTATCTTTACACATTTTTCAATTTTAATATAAATAATTAAATACCTGTGTAAATACAGATATATAATTAAAATATTAGTCTATGGATCTGGATAAAGATAAAAAATTATATAATATAATTTTTAAAAAGTTTAAAAATTAGGAATACAAAATATTTTTTAAATATTTACATTTTCTTTTTTGACAAAGCAAAACAACGCACCCAACTAAGTATGTAACTTTTATTAAATTTGTTGAAATTTTTTGTTGAAATTTGAATAAGCAATATTTGATAAATATTTCTTTTATTTCTTTTTTTTATTTTGAAAACTTTTTATTACATTTTATATTCTTCTCTCTTAGAAATGTTTAAAATTTGGTAGTTTAAAAAAGGTAGAAAAATTTGCTCTTGTTACTGACATTTCTTTTTCTATTTTTAAATTGTTAATTAAAGCGCATAAAAACATATTTTTATTATATTCATATTTATAACAAAAAATAGTTAAAAAATTGCAAACAAACATTTCAACATTTTTTTGATAATCTTTAAGATATTTTAAACGTATCAAAATAAGTTGTTTTTTTTTTACATTTATGTTCTTCATTCTAAGAAAAGTTTAAAATTTAAGAGTGGAAAATATTGTCTGTTTTTATTGACAGCTTCTAAGATAATATCTAAAATGTTTTTTATTTAATTTATATTTTTAAAATAGTTCAAATATTGAGAGCAAATAATATTTGGTAAATATTTCCCTTTGACAAAGTGTAAAATATTTAAAGCGCCTCAAAAGAGGTTTTTGTGACACAGACAAAATGAAATTTAGTCGAAAAACGTTCTAAGCAACTGCATCGAAAGCCATTCCTTACCTTTGCCGCACTAAAGCGAAGCACTTATTCCAATACAACAACAACAAGGAGCAAAAAACTCTGAGAAACCATAACCAACTGCATTTGTAACTTTGTGAAAATAAATAAGAGCAATAAAAGCACACACAAATAAGTTGGCATAATCTGTAGAGTACTATCTTAAATAAAATATTATATGCTTCAAAATATTTTAAAATTTGTGGTTTATTTTCGCAGAAAATAAATTAAACACAAGCAAACTGTCAGCGGTCATAAAAATTGTTGGGAATGCATTTAGAAAAGACCTGCACTTAGGATAAAGCTCACACAGGCTAAAAGCCCCAGACAACAAAAAAGTTAGTAGCCAAAAACGAAAACTGCATGTAAATATTCAAATATTGCAATATTTGCCTGGTTCAACGTTTAACGTTGCGGTTAGTAAAAATAAACAACAATTTCTCAATAGTTTACGATACAAATTGAACATTCAAAAAACAATACGAGGAAGAAAAAAGGCAGGTGGTTTGTTGCTATAACAAACATATTTTCAAAAGATGAGAAATAAATAAAGTTTACAATCAACGAAATTCAAGCTCTTGTTGAAACTGTGCAAAATTAATGGAGCGTGGCATATAAAGACGCTCATTAGGAGAGCTCTGTCAGACACCTTTGGTCTTGGCATTTATTTATTTGTCGCTGCTTAGCATAAATCGCACGTTAGAGCGAACAGAATGGCATAAAATTAACGCAACTCCCTCCCATGGCCATGCGAGCAACATTAAAAGGCCCAGCTCAATAGCACAGTGGAGCCCAAAATGTATTACGTAATATAAGGTAAATAAATAAAAAGTAAATTTTAAATTATTTTAAATTATTTCTATATTATATTAGAAGGTATTAAATATTATATTATTTCATTTCTAACTACTTAATAAATCTGTTTCAGTCTCCACTTCAAGAAGCTTGCCGATGATTAGCCCAAATATATCGAAAAATAAAAATTAAAAACAAAATAATATTTCATTTTTGCATTTAATAAGCACGGACATCAAGCCAGCTTAACTAAGACATAATTAATAAATATTTTCAGCTAAATAATATATCTATTTTTTTACTCCCTTGAAAATGTTTAAGATAACAATATTCTATGCAAAATCAATTTTAAAATAATAGAAAGAAAGTAAAAAATAAATATTTTGATATAAAAAATAAACATAATGTTTGCCTCGAGAACTTAACAATAACAATATTGTGTGCAAAATCCATTTAATAATAAAAGAAGTTCCTATTTTAAAATTAAAAGAAAAATATCAAAAAAAATATATATATACATATGTATATTTACATATAAATAAAAAATAATATTTGCGTATTTCAAAGATATATTTTAGGTTAGACCAAATTTTATGTTCAGATACTTTTGACAAATATTATTCTGATTATAAAAATGTTTGACATTATATATAAGAAGATATATAATAAGACTAATTAAGCATTCATTAGCTTTAGCTTAAATAAAGTTTTGTATGCATTATAATTAGATTTAGCTAAAATTAAGTTTTATAAATTTTATTTTTTCATTAAGCGGGCCGCTGTTAATAATTTTAATAAATTAACATCTGTGTTTCAGTATGCAGTATTTATTTTATTATATTATTTTCTTATAAATGTATTTAACTTCTGTGATTTATTTACTCTACTATGCCTTTCGGCATCCCCACTTACGCCTTCATTAATTTTATTGTATTATGTTTTGTTTTTTTTTTTTTTTTTATAATTAAACATCTCTGATTAAAATTAATCTACTATGCCTTTCGGCGGCTACCATTGGTGAATCTTCATTTTAATTTATTTTGTATTATTTGTTTATTTTATTTATTTCCAGTCATAAATCATATTTCATTTTTTATCCATAGTTCAGGCATTTCAATGCCAGTGTGCACACATTGTCGCCTGATGGAGAGCTCCTCAGCTCGGCTAAGGGTGAAGTTCACCTAAAAGCTTGCGACAATTCATGCAAATGAGTCGCAGTCACACACGAGCTCCGGCACTCACACTCTCCTACACACACACTTTCATATACTCGCATTCTAATGCCTCTAACCTTACAAAAAAGTGCGCAACCACAGCACGTAGAAGCTCATGCACACACACACACTCAGGCACACTCTGGCACAGGACTTTCATAGAGCTCTGGCATATAAAACATGTTTCATGTACGTAGATGTGTGATGTTTATTTGACACGCCAAAGTATATAATAACAAATAAAAACTTTGGCACACCAGACGACGACAACGACGACGACGACGGGCGACAACTGCTAGGACTCTGACAAGGACGACGATGACGACGAGTACGGCCCATTAGCACGATTGTTGAGCTTTAAGGCTTCGACGGTTTGGGTACCTAGGCGCACATTACGAGGGCCCATAAAAGTAGAGACCCAAAAAAAAAAAAATCTCCCATCTACTGATAGGGACTACAAAAAGAGCGCTGAGAAGTGCGCCAAGCCCCGAGCCAGGCGTGTGCACAAGTTATTTAAGTCAGCTTAAAATTTGGGTATAAGTAAAATATATGCTTTTTGTTAAGAAGGTAGCTAAAGTCGGGAACTATAAGAAGCTACTACAGATGTAACGTATACATATATATACTAGTTTCTAGTTCTAATTTTAATTAAATAAAATACATTCAGGAGCAATGTTTATAAAATCAACCATCCAGAGAGAGAACTGGCTGACAATTATCAACGATTATAATCGAAAGCTTTATTTCTCTATTTCAATAATTCAATTTGGAATGATATTATATAATAGATAACTATTTTAATAGATATTTTGAATATTATAAGCTCAAAGGCTTTTGGCCGTTATTCTGTGCCTTTTTGGGTATCTTCCAGTTGGACACATTCTGAATAGTTTTCTTATTAATATCTATAAAGACTCCTATTCTTGCATCTGCATCTGTCAAAGTTTTTAGACAGCGTTTCTATCGATATTTACACCCAAAAATATTTCAATATATCGATAAGCGAATATATGTTAGCTCCAACCTTTATTTACTATCGCATTTCTGTATAAAAAGTTCAGCGAAGAAAACTAAAAATCAAGTACGTCAGATTCGCTGTTCGCAAATTAACAAGAGAATTCTAATTGATTGAAAAGTTATTTTAGCATAGAATAGAATCGATCCAATGGCTGAGCCGCCAATTGCTGAGCAGTTGAAAATGAAAAAATTGAAATTGACGCTGGGTAAGTAAAAACTAAAATATATAAATACAATCCAAAATACATTCCCTTGCCACACAGATGAATACTCTGAGCAGTATGTGGACAAGGCGTCTGCCAATGTGGAATCCGCAAAGGACAAACATCGTGAACACTATATATTCGATACAAATATTATGGAGCTAACACTTGGTAAGTCGAACTTTCAGGAATTGACCCAAGTAAGGCTCAAAAATGTCCTTCAACACCTGCAGATGAGTATTATGAGAAGTTTGTGCTGCCCAAGGCAAAGCTTCAAGCAACTAAACATGAGGAAGAGCACAAAAACATACGCTATCAACGCACCCACTACTTTGGGCCCAGCTTTTTGGACCGCCAGCGTCAACCAAGGGAACCATCTGCCACTGACCAGAAGGGCGGCACAACAAATATGTAACCAGATGACGCCAAAGGAGCTGCTCCAGCAGACGGACTACCGAAATTCTGTTTGCAGCAGCAGCAAAAAGTACTCTCATTTAATGTGAATCCTGGCAATAAAGAGACTAACAGAGAAGTCCAGTATTCACTTGATACATTTTTATGTGGTGATAATAATATGTAAGCAGCTTCTGACTGAGCCAGCCAACCACCCTACTTAAGATACATTGAATGACAACGTAGGAAAAACAAATATTTTTATGTGATATTCATTAATTTGTTGATATAACAGCTTTTCGCCTGCGGTTTCGGCAATCGTTAAATGACAGCTGATACGCTTTCAAGTAGGTTTCCATGT